GTTTATACAAGTTTATATTACAATGCAGGTAGGTTCATAGTTTTAAAACATAGTTTTAAATGTTGTGTTCTTTATTGGTTGGAAAAAGAAAAAAAGCTGGCCGGTCCTAATGAGCCTGGTTCAGTTCTGCTGGAGGTTTCTTCTTGTTCAAAGGGAGTTTTTCTCTCCACTGTCGCTAAAAGCATGCATGGTGCAAGGGATTGCTGAAGAGTCAATGTAACGATGCAATCAGCTGGTTTTCCTTAGATAGAAAACTTTGAACCAATCTGACAGGATGATCTGGTTGAATTGTCTCTGTAAAGGGCCTTGAGATGACATGTTGTAAATTGGAGCTATATAAACTAATCCGACTATCTATACATGTATATTTATCTCTTTAAAGCTGTTATTAGTTAGTTGATAGTTGTGTGTTATACCTAGTGCATGTATATACATAATGCTGTAGCGTCATGACTAAAGTAAAAAAAAAAAAGTCTCCTTGCAGCCATCGTGTGTTGCAGCTGTTCTTCGTCTATCAGAAATGTGTCCTTAAAGTTAACACTAGAACTACCAAGGCAGTCATTTTGACAGAGAAAAAAAACAAACTTTATTTACATTAATCTTATGTTGGTCATGTTAACTCTTCCCGTTTATACATTTCCTTCATCTTAACATTGTTTTTTGAACAAAATAAAAAACCTAAAAAAAAAAAAAAAATATGGTTAAGTTTACCTCGATCTCCCATAGCCGCCATTTTGACGCCTCTATGAGTTGCATTGTAAATTCTTCCCGCGGTTAATTGACGTTCTGTACCGTTGCCTAATAGCCAACATTCTACCTAGTAACCTCTGGAACTCTTTGGCTAATGCGGAAAAATAAAAAAATAAAATAAAATAAAGAAATCTAACAGCAAAACAGGCTTGAGAAGTGCTTCAAAATATTGATGATAGTGATTCGGGTGGAGATGGACAGACCGATGATGATGACTGGTTGGTAGGAAGCAGCTCAGGTTCTGACAGCGACTGAGGATGAGCAACCACCTCCAGCAAAATGCAGACCTATCAGTGACCCATCAGACAGTGGGGAAACTTTTGTTCAAGGTTTGGATAACACTGCCCACACCTCAGCCGCTGTTCTGTCAGATGAGCATACTTCGTCAGGCCGGCATAACCATAGTCAATACGCATGCCCAAGGCGTCTTTCCTTTATCTCTTTAGTTTTGTACAAAAATAGACTTTAAATTACCTCAATGGGCTTGTATCCCTTTGGTCATGTACAAAGAAAATAACATTTAAAGTCAGATCACCATATACTTCAAAATAACAGCAAAAAATAGTTTTTTTGTACATGACTAAAGGGATACACGCCCGTTGAGGTAGTTTAAAGTTTATTTTTCGACAAAATTAAAGAGATACACTAAAGGGATAAACGGGTATTGACTATGGGTATGCTGGTCTGACCAGGTATGCTCATCTGACAGAACAGCGGCACACTCAGCGGCCCAAAAGCCAAACCAAAGCCTTTGTGTGATTACACAAAGGTTGGTGTAAATGTCTTGGATCAGATGATTAGAAAGTGCTCTGTAAAAGCTCTAAGGTGGCCCGAGGCTGTCGTTTACAATCTACCGGGCATAGCAGCTATAAACGCGTTGGTTTTGTTCAGGAGCTGTTTGGATGTCACCGCCTCATGCAGAAATTTTATCCTAGAACTGGTAAACCAAAGCGCTTTAGAGCGAGCTTTGGCGAGGCCAAGAAAACAGTGCCAGGTGCATCAGCGCTGCAAAAAAACCGAAGCAAACGCTCATATGATGTTTATCATAAATGTACAAAGATGGTGTGCGAGAAATGTGCGGGGTAATCAATCCATTTCTGTAAATGTCATTTCAAACTTTGAACGTCTGTAGTAAAATAGTCTTATTTATATTACTGGTTTATTTTTAATACACATACTCTACAAATAATGACAGCCTATAAAGCCTTTGAAAGAAACCTATTAGACCTGATTTAAGGTCTAAATATCCACAATGAGTTTGTATGGCACACTAGAACCGTTTCAGTCGATGACATCCTACTCTTGCATTCCCATTGGGAAAAACACCACCTGTGGGAGAGCTAGTAGGATCAGGATTCTGGGAGCCCTGGTGTTAAATGATCAGGTAACTCTACTCACTTGCATTCAGTTCGTCTTTGAAATATTAAAATACATCTTACTGTGACTGATATCCAGTCAGTTTGTTTCCCTTCTCATACTTGCAGACTCCAGGTTAGTTACCCAAGCCCGTCCGTCCCCACAGGTAAACAGGTATGTACCCGTAGACTATTATATCATTGCAATAAACGGTCTCCCCACTAAAACTGGTCAAAAGTACTTCCAGATAAAAAGGATTCCCCTTGAGTGAAGATCTGTTACTTTGTCTTTATATTACATATATCCTGCAGTTAATCAGCAGATTGGTGCTGGCTGCATTCTGTGCTTGCATGTTGGCATGTTCGACATCATTTAATGGGAAAGTAATAAACCTGGCAGACATAAGGCGGATTTCATTCCACTAAACAGGCATGGCTCGGCTCAGGCTCCACTGGCACAGTCGCCACTAGACAGCTAGGTCCCTCTAACATGCTCCTGAATCTATTAACCCCAGCCGGTTAAACCACTGAAAGAACACATGCGTAAAGCACACATACTCCCCGTTCTGAATTTCAAAACTGATCTGAGCAACTAAAGCAGCTGATGAGCCAGTCTCCATCATTGGGCCACATCAATAAACCCTCTTCACATTTGTTAAGGGGGCAAAAACCACCACTCATGATAATAATACAAAGAAAACTATTATGTTCAGATATGATCTTGAATATCTACAGACCTGATACCAGAGCTCCGTTTGCTTTTAGGTTATCATCATAGCTGATGGGTTATGGCGATGAGGTTTTTATAAATTTATCCTGAGCTATCTCTATAGTTATGCTGCTATAGGCTTAGACTGCTGGAGGACATAGGGACCCCCATTTCATCATTCTATCTCTATTGTCCCACTCTGCAGAATCTGTTAGTTCAATCTCTAACGTTCTGCTCTCTCTGCTTTTTCTCATAGTAGCTTCATCTGGTCTGTTCCTGTTTGGCTGTGACTCCATCCTGGAGAGAAATATCAGCTGTGCTGCTGCCATCAACACCTTTGTTTCTGGATGTTGGAGCTTGGCCTGTTTTCCAGTGTAGTCCTGTTTCTCTGACTGTGACTAACTGGATGTGCTCTCTTCATCCTCTGACATGGGAGCTGGCTCGGAGCTCGTCTGCCTGCCTGTGTGTTTCCTGGACGGGGCCGCCAGTGGAGCTGGTCGACAGCTGCCTTTTGTATCTATGCTTCTTTTTCTATGTCTGCTTCTGTCTCCTTGAACCCCAGTGGGCCTCAGCAGATGGCCGCTCACACTGAGCCTGGTTCTGCTGGAGGTTTCTTCCTGTTAAAAGGGAGTTTTTCCTCTCCACTGTCGCTACAAACATGCTTAGTGTGAGGGATTGCTGAAGAGTCAATGAATCGATGCAATGAACTGGTTTTCCTTAGATAGAAAACTTTGAATCAACTTGACTAATGAACTGAATTGAAACTGAACCGAATCTCCACTCCATCGTACTGTGAGTACAATCTGTAGGGCTGTACACATGTAGATTCTAAAAATCTAATTTAAGTTTAACAGATCAGAAAGGAAGTTGTTTTAACGGGACACAATCCACCCTTGAAACAAATGAGAATATGAGGGTTCAAATCGACTGCATTTGAATTGTATTTAATCTAAAACAGATACTCATAAAGTGGGATAAAAATAGGATGAGCAACAACTAAAAAACAAACCCTGAAGGATGTTTGGGGGGGGGGCTTTAGCAGGGTCAGCATAGCATTAGGGTCTGTGACTGCTTCTATAATCTGATGTCAGGTGTTTGTGGCATTGGTAGACTGTCTGAAAGATGAGATTAAAGAAGAAAAAAATAATAAGTGCACAAAGCTCAGAAAAGATGGGAAGGTTTTATGGTGAAGAGTAACATTTAGCAACCAAATTCTAATAAGTGCTTAAGATGACAATACAGTATACATCTGAAAAATATAGATTTGACATATTTGTTTATAAAAACCGCCTATTGACAGTGGATTGCTCCCAGAGTGATGCAAACCATGACATTCCTTTTGCTTTGGACTCAAGTGAATCTTCAGGAGCAAAGCAACGCAGGGAGAAAACAGCTCTTCTCAGACAATAAACCTGTGAAAAGCGGTATAATAACAGCGAATCTAAAAATGGATTCTACTTGAGGAGTAATCTACCTCTAATCTGCCGATCAGGCGGCCCTAATAGTGCTTTGTCCTTACTGTAAAGCGCTGCTTGTGCCGTCAGGCGCCAGGCAGCCATTTAGGTGCATATGGAGCTAGTTGAGTCTCCACGTAAATGGCTGATGCATTTCCAATTTTTTTTCTTCCTAATTGCCGAGGGCCATCAGCACTCGGGGCCTCCTGACGCCTTCAAATCCGCCTCCCCCCGCAGTACCGCTGGATGAACCGTGTCAAACATCTCGCCTCCTGGCCGCTAAAACAGCAGCGTTTAAAGGATGAGCAAAGCTCTGCAGTTAAAACCCCTGAGAATACGGATCAAACAATGAAAAAAAGGATTGGAGGCTTTCCGAAAAATGCCTCCATCACAGCGTTAGAAAATCTCTGTTGACAAAACGGTTACAGGGGGAATAAAAAAAAGAGCACAAAACCGAAACCGCCAAAACAATAAAAGCTATTTTGCTGGGACTCCAAAACCTTTAGAGGTAAATGAAGAGTCCGGGGCGGCTGAGCTGGTCGCCAACATGTCAGCCTGCATCAATAAATAGCAAAGCCAATGCGCTCTATTGTCTGATAGCATATCAACATTTCCACCGGCAGGAAACCGACACAGCAGCTAATTAGCAGTCCTACCGCGACCCCATCCCACCGCTGCCATTTCAGAACATCACCGCCAAAAGACAGGCCTTTCGCGAGTCCTCGGACTCACCTGGGTCTCGTTTCGCCTCAGTCTGTACCGTCTCCGGGTTCACGGTCCGGTCCCCCTGACGCGCTGCAGCGGATTCTCACCACCAGTCCCCGGCACCGGCAGGCAGCACTGACCCGCTGATTGGGCCTCTTCTAACTCTCATCCCTTCGTTGCAAACGGCGGGAGCTCTCATTGGTCAGACAGCTGCAATGTGGAATCCAGACAGACAAATGATTGGCTGCTCGTTGCCACAGCAGACCCAGACTGATATTTGATTGGTTGTTAATTTCCGCGGTGGAGAGGAGAGAAATTTGATTGGTCGGTGAAACTGTTGTTGTCTGTGTCTGGACAGAAAGCAGCGTTTACCTCAACATGGGCTAAAAACAATGTGTTGAGTGTTATATTTGGATCGCTCACCTTTTCCACCCAATATTTTTAGAATCAAACGGTTGGGAGGCTTTTTTTTAAATGTATTTTAATTTTTAAGCTAAATACATTTGAAATCAGTTTAACGCTAAAATTCGGATATGTTCTTAATTTGGAGTATTTACTTGGTTTCTGCGCACTAAAGCGCAGGACAAAAGATCCAACACAGACCAAACGTTAGCAGATGGGTTTGGGTAAATAAACAAGTTTTAACAAGATATGTAAAACAGCGTTTTGTGTTAACATGCTATTTAATTTTTTTTTTTTTTTACAATTTTGAAACTCAAATATGATAATTGTATGATTAAACGTATAATTACAAACACTAACCTCCATTTCTTGTCAAATTAAAATTACTTATAGATAATAACAAAATGGTTAGTCTTAGGATATTTTAACATTACACAAGATCGATAAATAGAATATTTAAACAAATGACAGAAATCTTTAATTTCTGTTCACTAAACATTTGGTTTGGCCTTTCAAACGAATTACTCCATCATGCGGTGTGGCATCATGTTATCAACCTGCAGCCCTGCTGAGGTCTCATTTAAACCCAGATTAAGTTCATTCTTCAGGTCATCTTCATTGTCAGGTCCAGTAGCTTTAGTACTCCAGTAGTGATCTTTGCAGGGGTGGCAGTTACAGTGGGTACTTAAAGTATCCAGCAAATTTCATTCTTTATTTCATTGCAGCCATTTGCTAAAATAAAAAAATATATATTATTTTTCATTAAAGTTATTGTGGAGGATTTTTGCAATTTTCTTTTAATGACCTGCCCTCTTCACTTAAAAAAAAAAAATGCACATGCATAACCCTGTACCCGCTCCAGAGATGGAACGCCTGTTAAACGCATGTGAGAAGGTGCATAAGCCCATATCTCCTTGTGCAGGCTCAGTTTAAAAGTTGCTTAAAGCTCATATAAGCTTACTGTGTCTGAATGTCCACCTAAACACCTAAATCCCTCAATCCGTGCAAAGGATTCCGGGGGGGTGACAGTGGCGCTGGATGTAGGAGTTTGCCCTGAAATCGAAGGATTGACATTTCAAGCCCCGACTCTGACTTTCATTGTCGTAGTGTCCTTGGGCAACACACTTCACCTGCATTGTCTACTGATGGTGGTCAGAGGGCCCGGTGGCGCCAGTGTAGGCAGCCCCGCTTCTGTCAGTGAGCCCCAGGGCAGCTGTGGCTACAATGTAGCTTGCCACCATCAGTGTGTGAGTGTGTGCGTGAATGGGTGAATGAATGTAGTGTAAAGCGCTTTGGTCAAGTCTCCTGACTTGAATAAAGGCGCTATATAAGTACATGCCATTTGCCATTTACCATATATCTGCCTCTTCTGAGGCGTCTCTTTTATTCTCATTCACCTTGTAGACACTTTTTCTCTTACGACCCTCGGCCATGTTCAAAGAACCGCTGTGAAAAAGGAGTGCTTCAATGACTGGCTGAAATCGTAGCTCACCACACATATATGCCCGAAAGTAACCAAAAATATAGCTAACTGAGTGACAATTGGGAGGACCCCTTATTTAGATGATCCACCTGGAAATAAAAGATCGTCCTCTGTACTTTTAATGTACACTCAGGACCCCATATTAACAGAAAAAAACAGAGATGTAAAAATGTTAACAAATTTATTAAAAAGAAAATTTGAAATATCTAATGTTCATAAGTACAGGTGCTGGTCATAAAATTAGAATATCATGAAAAAATAGATTGATTTCAGTAATTCCATTTAAAAAGTGAAACTTGTATATTATATTCATACATTACATACAAACTCATATATTTCAGATGTTTATTTTGTTTAATTTTGATGATTACAAATGACAACAAATGAAAATCTCAAATTCATCATATCAGAAAATTAGAATATTACTGAAGACCAATAAAAACAAAGGATTTATAGAAATGTTGGCCAACTGAAAAGTATGAACATGAAAAGTATGAGCATGTACAGCACTCAGTATTTAGTTGGGCCTCCTTTGGCCTGTATTACTGCAGCAATGCGGCGTGGCATGGAGTCGATCAGTCTGTGGCACTGCTCAGGTGTTATGATAGCCCAGGTTGCTCTAATAGTGGCTTTTAGCTCTTCTGAATTGTTGGGTCTGGTGTATTGCATCTTCTTCTTCACAATACCCCATAGATTTTCTATGGGGTTAAGGTCAGGAGAGTTTGCTGGCCAATTAAGAACAGGGATACCATGGTCCTTCAACCAGGTACTGGTAGCTTTGGCACTGTGTGCAGGTGCCAAGTCCTGTTGGAAAATGAAATCTGCATCTCCAAAAAGTTGGTCAGCTGCAGGAAGCATGAAGTGCTCTAAAACTTCCTGGTATGTGGCTGCGTTGACCCTGGACCTCAGAAAACACAATGGACCAACACCAGCAGATGACATGGCACCCCAAACCATCACTGACTGTGGAAACTTTACACTGGACTTCAAGCAACGTGGATGAAGTGCCTCTCTTCTTTTCCTCCAGACTCTGGGACCTTGATTTCCAAAGGAAATGCAAAATTTACTTTCATCAGAGAACATGACTTTGGACCACTCACCAGCAGTCCAGTCCTGTTTCTCTTTAGCCCAGGCAAGACGCTTCTGACGCTGTCTGTGGTTCAAGAGTGGCTTGACACAAGGAATGCGACAGCAGAAACCCATGTCTTTCATACGTCTGTGTGTGGTGGTTCTTGAAGCACTCACTCCAGCTGCAGTCCACTCTTTGTGAATCTCCCCCACATTTTTGAATGGGTTTTGTTTCACAATCCTCTCCAGGGTGCGGTTATCTCTCTTGCTTGTACACTTTTTTCGACCACATCTTTTCCTTCCCTTCGCCTCTCTATTAATGTGCTTGGACACTGAGCTCTGTGAACAGCCAGCCTCTTTAGCGATGACCTTTTGTGTCTTGCCCTCCTTGTGCAAGGTGTCGATGGTCGGCTTTTGGACAACTGTCAAGTCAGCAGTCTTCCCCATGATTGTGTAGCCTATAGAACTAGACTGAAAGACCATTTAAAGGCTTTTGCAGGTGGTTTGAGTTAATTAGCTGATTAGAGTGTGGCACCAGGGGCCATCAATTTTGAACCTTTTCACAATATTCTAATTTTCTGATATGATGAATTTGAGATTTTCATTTGTTGTCATTTGTAATCATCAAAATTAAACAAAATAAACATCTGAAATATATGAGTTTGTATGTAATGTATGAATATAATATACAAGTTTCACTTTTTAAATGGAATTACTGAAATCAATCTACTTTTTCATGATATTCTAATTTTATGACCAGCACCTGTATTCAAACCCTTTGCTGTGACACTTTTTATTTAACTCGCATGCTATACATTTCTGATCCTCCTTGAGATGGTTTTGCTCCTTCATTGGAGTCCAGCTTTGTTTAATTAAGATGATTGGACTTGATTAGGAAAGGCAAACACCTGTCTATATAAGACCTTACAGCTCACAGTGCAGAGCAAACAAGAGGTTTGAATGAGGTTGAAGGATCTGCCCAAGGAGCTCAGAGACAGAATTGTGCCAAGGCACAGATCTGGCCAAGGTTAATCACGAGAGCTTCTGCAGCACTCAATGTTCCTAAGAGCACGGTAGGCATCATTAAATAGAAGAAGTTTGGAATGACCAGAACTCTTCCTAGACCTGGTCTTCCAGCCACACTAGGCAATCGTACGAGAAGAGCCTTGGATAAGGAGGTAAAGAAGACCCCAAAGATCACTGTGACTGAGCTCCAGATGTAGTAGGTAGATGGGAGAAAGTTCCACAAAGTCAACTATCATTGCAGCCCTCCACTTGTCGGGGATTTATGGCAGAGTGAAACCTCTCTTCACCGCAATACATATGAAAGCCCGCATAGGGTATTACAAAAAACTCATGAGGTACTCCCAGGCTTTGAGATAGAAGATTCTCTGGTCTGATGGCACTAAGATTGAACTATTTTGCCGTTAATTCTAAGTGGTATGTGTGGAGAAAACCAGGCACTGCTCTTCACCTGCCCAATACAATCCCAACAGTAAAACATGCTGGTGACCGCATCATGCTATGGGGGTGTTTTTCAGGCGCAGGGACTGGTTGACAGAAAAAACAGAGATGTAAAAATGTCGATTGCAACCACTGGTTGCAATCGAAGGAAAGATGAATGTGGCCAAGTACAGAGATAAACTGAATAAAAACCTATTCCAGAATACTCAGGACCTCCGACTGGGCCAGAGGTTCACCTTCCAACAAGACAATGACCCTAAGCAAACAGCTAAAATAACAAAGGAGGTGCTTGGGAAAAACTCTGTGACCATTCTTTACTGGCCCAGCCAGAGGTTGAGAGGTTCTGGCCAGAGATACTTGGACTTAACCTGACTCCGCCAGATGGATTTGCTCCGCATATCCATCTGGAAACCTTCCGTTGAAGTAATTTTGGGAAGGGGCGAAAATACTGGTTAGCTGATTGGCCTATGTTGGTGATAGACGGGCCAAATAAACCAATCAGATCAACGAAGCATATGACGTACTAACAGCCAGGCTACTCTTGCCGAAACCAGTCGGGAGAAGAGCAAAAACATCTTTTCCTCTGAGAAAAGCCTCCAGAGCAGTGTTTTGCTCTTCTTTCAGTGAAGAAATACTCTGTAATTCCAATAAAACTTGATTGATAGCCACGCTAATGCTAGTTTCATTGGCTGAAGCCGCCATGTTCTTTAGACTGAACTGTCGCTCTTCTCGTTGCGCCACACC